ACACACACACAAACACACAGACACACTCACACAGACGCACTCACACCCAACCCCCTCCACCACCCAAAAAAGGCCCCATGCGTCCCACAGTTGTGCGTGCACACACGAGCACAGGCACAGCGGGACATGCATGCACAGGCACACCCGGTGTGCACCCAGCAAGAGGGGTGAGCACACTCAGCACGCCCCTCTTGACATCCTTGGGTTGTGCAACACACATACACGTGTGCACAGCCAGCACCCCCCCCCACGCACACTGACCCCCCCCAGCCTCGCAGGAGCCGCTGGCCTTGGCTGGCCAGCCCTGCCACACCGCCGTCACCGTCACACCCAACACCTCCCCAGCAGGTTACACAAACAGGCTGCCAGGCACACACGCAGCCGGGCGCACGCTCCCCTCGCTCACACCCACAAACCACACGGGCTCACCCCGGTGCTCGCACGCGCACGCGCGCCCTTGCAGGAAGAGGCACTGGCTTCCCGCTGCCTTTTCCCTCCATTAACTCCCTCCACGGATCCCACTCATGGCCCAAAGGGCACCCATGCGGCGCCCAGCTCAGCCCCGTGCCCCCTGCCCTGGCTCATTGCAGGAGGAGGAGGAGGATAAAGAGAGCATGGCACTCCCCCTGCTGCTCTAAGCGCTGGCAATGGGCACTTGGGGACAGGCCACCAATGGGGCATCTGAATGATAGATGCCACTGACTGGGGACTGGCACCGATGCGACCACGCAAAGCAGTTGCTTGGACTCGGCACAACACAGGGCACGGGCACTGGCATGGCACGGTGAGCCGGCGGGCCCCAGGGCGAAGGGCACAGCAGGCAGCACAGGCAGGGCTGGAAGAGCCAGGATGGAGTAGGGCAATAAACACAGTGGCAGGCGAGACACTGAGGCCGTGGCATCACCCTGACACAGGGTGCGGTGCCCGGGCTCCCGGCGTCAGGCTGCAGGGCTCAATCAGCAGCACAGTCCCTCCCCAGCGCCGGCAATCCTGGATGTCCAGAAACATGGATATACAGGAATGGTGCGTGGGTAAACTGAGGAACGGCCCCACACAGCACCCCGTGTGCCTGGATCAGGACACGTACAGGCAGCCAGGCAAGAAGGGCCAAGGTTGGTGCCACCAGCCGCGGCCCTGCACACCCCTGTGCCCTGCCAGCCATGGGAAATGACCCCAAGGGTCTCTGTGCCAATGTGGGTCACAGGGACTGAACGTCTTGGATGACACCGGACCCCGAGCCTGCAGCACTCAGTGGGTCTCATCTCCCCACAACATCCTCCAGCTGGATCCCCAACTCCAGAGCCACCTCCACCTTCCACATCATGGGGTCCCTCAAGGCCAAGGCGACCTCCTGTCCACCACACCACAGGGTGCCTGAAGCTCAGGGTGATCTCTGTCCCCCAGATGATGGGGTACCCCAACCCCATGGCAACCTCCACCCCTCACACAATAGGGTCCTCCAAGCCAAAGGTGACCTCCATCCCCCCCAACACGAGGTCCTCAGCCTTAGGGTAATCTCCATCCCCCAAACAACAGTGTCCCCTCAAGCCCAGGGTGACTGCCACCCCCTGTGTCATGGGGTCTTCCAACTCTGGGGTGACCTCAGTCCCCACAGGATCGGGTCCCCCAACTCAAGGCAATCTCCATCCCCCACATCACAGGGACCCCCAATCCTAGGCAATCTCTGTCCTACGCACCACAGGGTCTCTTAACCCAGGGTGACCTTGGTCTCCCACACCATGGGTTCCTCCAGACCCAGTGTTCTCTGTTTCCTGCACAACAGGGTCCCCTGACTCCCGGGTGACCTCCATCCCTGACACCATGGGTGCCCCCAAACCCGAGGTGACCTCTGCCCCTTATACCACGGGGTCCCCCAACTCAAGAGTGACCTCCATTTACCAAACAACAGTCTCCTCAAATCCCTGGGTGACTTCCAACCCCTATACCATGGGGTTCCCCAACCCCAGGGTGACCTCCGTCCCCCACACCACCGCCTCTCTCAGCCCCAGGGTGACCTCTGTCCCCAATGTCATGGGGTCCCCCGACCTCAGGGTGACCTCCATCCCCCAGACCAGACCCCCCGACAGAGGAGCTGGGGGGGAATCTGCGGGTGGCAGGGTCACACCAAGCCCATCCCACCCCTCCAGCACAACCCCCACTCGGGGGGGGGGGAGTTCCCTTTCCCCTCCTCCCCACGGCGCTGCTGGGGGACACCGGGGGGGTGTCACTCACCCGCGGGCCGCGCCGTCCAGCGGGGGCTGCGCTCCTCCATGGGTAGCGGCGGAGGGAGCGGAGCTGAGCCGTGCCGAGCCGAGCCGTGCCGAGCCTTCCCCCGCCGCTTCCTGCTTCCCTCGGCGCCCGCCCGCCGCCCCGGGAGCCGCACGGCTGGAGCGTGACTCACCGGGGGCCGGGCCGGGCAGGGCAGGGCGGCGGGGGCGGGCGCGGCGGGCACCGCGAGCGAGGCAAAGGGGGTCCCCGAACGGGGATGCTGGACAGGGAGGGACAGACCCCTCGGACCTCTCGGGACCACCCCCCAATGCACCGGGGATGGGGGATCCCCCACGGGGAGGAGATTGGGGTGGGGGGCTCGTGGGGGTTCCCCTCCCTCCTCAGCATCCCAAGAATTAGGGTGATGGGGAGTAACAGCCCTGACCCCAGAACACAGGTGTCCCCCTCCCAGAATGCAGAGATCAAGGGGGGCAAGAAGTCTGGGGTGGCATCCTGCCCTCTGACCCCCAACTCCAAAACTACTTGGAACCCCAAACAGGCTCTGGGATGCCCCGGATCTCAGGGGTGCCAGCCCAGCCCATCACAGTGAGCACTCAGGGTGGTCCTGAGTCCAGACCCTGTGGAGATAAGGGGTGTTCCCACAACAGCCCCCTCAGTGTGCCCCAATGCCCTGTTCATCCCCTGCCCCGGGTGCAGGAGTGGGGACAGCACTGTCCCTCTGAGGTGGGGAAGGTGGTGGTCACCCCTGTGCCATCCCACTGTCACCCTGAGGGCTCTGCCTGCACCTGGGCTTTGGGGCACCAGTGACACAAGTAGGGTGGGGCTCAGCCCACTCACATGTGGAGGAAGTTGCCCATCATTCACCAGCCACAGGTCGGCTCCACGAGCCTGTCAGGCTCAGCTGGCTCAGACAGGCCGGACCCCCACCTTCCCTGGGCAGGAGAGAGGCTTCAGCAAGGAACCTCATCCTGGCACTGCCAGCTATGAACTGGCATCTCCACGGGAGGAGATGCAAACCACGACAGGGACACCCGGTCATCCCCAAACAAACTGCCACGCTACCAGCACACCCACCCAAATCCCTTCCCAGCTCACCCTCACCTCTTCGCCCCCTCCATCATCCTCCTCTTCCTCCAACAGGCCCCATGCTGGTGCTGCCGCAGCGCCAGTGCTGCCCGACACCCTCCCCAGCCCTCCTTGTGCTTTTCCCCCCCTCTCTGTCTCCCTTTTCCCGTTCTATTTTAAATTTTTATTGCATTCTTTTTAAAGAATACAGAGGAACAAATGCCCTTATCAGCAATTCTCACAAGGTATAAAGAGCCGCTTTTATCTCCTGCCTTTACTAATCTAGAGCGAGCCAATGCCTGTTAATTTTTTAATTTTCCTAGTGAATGCATTTGTGGCTCCGTCAGCATCCATCCGGACACGCACGCAGGATACCCTCCGCATCCCAGCCCAGCCACCCCAACACAGAATTGCCACCGTGCTGGCAGAGCAGTGGCTCATGGTTTGGAAACCACCAAGGGGTTTTGTGCACTGGGAAGTCCTGTGTGTCACACGAGGCTCACCAGGACACCCTGGGATGTGTCACCATCCCTAAGACGTGGTGGTACTCTCCGACATGCCAGCCCAACTACACTTGGCCACAGGGAATGCTGACAGAGTAGGTCTCCATCCTAGGCACAGGGACGCATTCCATGCCAAGCCATCCAACTGTCACTATCACCCGCTCTGGCCAAGGTCCCTGTGGGGACATAGGGGGGGTTTGCCCCTGTGTTCCCCCCCGGAAGGGATGCAGGCTGCCCGCACGCCGGGGTGGGAGCACAGCAGCCGGCTGCGGTGCACAGATGAGATGTGGCAGGCGTGTAACAAGCCATTAGTCACTGTCACCTTTGCCCGGCAGCCACTGGCAGGGTAATAAATCCCGGGCTGACTCCAGCGGGCCCGTTCCAGGCCACGGCTCCCAGCTTGTGTCCACGCCACTGCCGGCTGGGCTGTGAGCAGCTTGTAAATGCATTCCAACCCCCCCGGGGGACATAGCGCCTTGCAGGGTCCCAGACTGGGGCTGAATCCCTGTGGGGCTGATTGATGGGTGACATGGGCCACCGCCTTCCTGGGAAGTGTCATTCCTTGGGGACATGGGGGAGCGGGTCACGAACCCCCCACCAAGCAGCCCCCTGGCCCCCAGGCTGCCACTCCCACAACTCCATGTCCACCCCGGCTTCCTGCCCGCTGCACCTTGCGGTTCCCAACTCTTCCCAGCCCAACACCAGGAACCGGCATCGGCGGTTGTTACCGGATCAAAGGAGCCTGGCGTGGCACAGCACAACACGGCACGGCGCGCCCGCCGGGAAGGGCTGGCAAACAAGCTGGTCCAGGGAGGCGGCAGGCGGGAAGCACGCATGATACCTCTCCTAAAAATGCTGCTGCTCCTGACGGACAGGGCGGCCAAGTCCCAGGAGCCGTGGCCTGTCCCAGCCCTGGGGGCTCCCCCGACTCCCCAGCACATCCAGCCCAACGCCATGGCTCTCCCTGGCACCCACGGCCTGACTCACGGCCCCAAGGACAGCAGGCAGGGACTGCGGTGCCACAGGGTCACCTTCCTGGTGGGGCTGCGGGTTTCAGATCCCAGTCCCAGGCCTGTGGGTGTGAGCCTTCACCAGGAGACCCAAGCGGCACATTGGACTGACGGTGCACCCCACGGTGGGGCAGGGGACAGCCCTTGGCCACGGCAGCCTTGTATCCCCCTGGTATCACCCAACATCACCTACTTGTGGCTCCAGCGTCCGCGCCTTCCACATCCAAAGCCGTCCGCTGGCCGACGTCCGGGGCAGCACTGCCCGTCCCTGGGCTCTCCCCGGCCGCCCGGGGCTCGCCGGCCAGAGGCTTGGTGGTGACCGTCTCCAGGGACAAAGAGGACGCCTGGAAGAGAAGGAGGACAGAGATTCAGCGCCTTTCCCTTTCCCGGTTGGAGCACCGCCGTGCGGGGTGGGGGCCACAGGGTGGGGGGGTTTGGGGCGCACAGACAGAAGATGCTTTTGTTTTCCTGCCGGCCGGTGCACGTGGCCGGCGCGGGAGCCGCACGCCAGCCCGCACCGCGGGGCTACAGCTGGATCCGGCCGATGGCTCTCAGCGCAGCCAGACAAGAAAGGCTGGAGGGGGGGTGAGGACATGAATCAAAGCGGCGTCCCCTCGCCCGCCGGCGGCAGCTGGCCGGTTAGGCAGCTCCCGATTACTCAACCGGGCAGTGTTTACTCGAGATCAACAACCCCTCATCGCCTTCCCTGCCAGGCGGGTGAGGAAAATGTGCTGCTGGGATGGGGAAAATATTCCCGCTGCCCCCCTCGGTCCCCCTCCTTGACCCCCGGTGTCCCCCGGTGCTGCTGTGGCCCCAGGTTTGCTGTAGCTGTCACCCTCCCATGTCAGGCGTGTCCAGGCTCACAGCTTGGGCTGTCACCACTCCTCTTTAGCTTTAATAAAGCAAAATCCAGCAACACTACAGACATCCCAGCACCGCCATGCCGCTCTGGGATAGACACATGGACCACTCAGACCAAGGCCTGAATGGGGCCCCGGGATGCTGTGCTCACCCCAGGCATGGCGGGATGAGGGTGACCTCCCTCCTGCCACAGGTGGCATCCATAGGGGACACCGTGCTCCTAATTTTGGGACATTAGGGCCACGGCTGCAGCATGATGAGGATTTGATGTTGATCCCATTTTTCCTGGGATTACTCCCACAAACGTGGAGAGCTGAAGCACGATGGTTGTTTTGCTGGGAAGCCCTCAGACTCGACGAGCCACGCACATGAGCGGACATACAAATTTACCGTTTGCTTCCTGGAAAGGTTTAATTTATGGAATCCATATGGCAGCGCTGCACAACCGCGAGTGCTTGGCACATCCCGTGAGTCCTCGAGTGCCACCACGTACCAGCTCCAACTGGCGGGGTGCCACCGGCTGCCCTGGTGATGGCGGGATGCTCTTCTCTTTCCCAATGATTAACAGAAGGTGACTTTCACAGCGGGCAGGGGACAAGCCCAGGGATCAGTTCCCATCCCTGAACGCTTGGTGTGGGCTCCGTGGAGGTGGCAGGGATGTCTCGGGGGGGATGCCATGCCACCTCTCCTCCTCCTGGGGCAACGCCACAGGCAGCAGCAGGCAGCAATCCCCAACCTGTGGGCATGGGAAAGGGCTGGGGTGCACTTTGATACCTGGAGCAACTAATCATTAATTAGCATTAATCACTCCCTGTCATGCGTCACAGCAGCATTGGGCAAGACACAGCTGGGAAGCACCGAGCCGGGGTTGTGGTGGGGAAGGCGGATTTTAGCGGCTGGGCCAAGACTGGCACCCTCCTTTTGCTCCCTGGGGAGCTTCAGCAGCCCCCCAGGCCCCAACCTACACCCCAACCCACCCACCAGCCCCACAGCAGTGGCAGCCCCCACCCCCTCTATTTTCCTGCCGAGAGATGCTGAGATGCAAAAGCACAGGAGATGGGTCCCACCTGCCCAAGGGGCAGCCAGGATCCATCCCCCCCTCACCGCCCATGTCCCCTGGGACCCCCCAGGCTCCAGCATGGAGCACCGGCCGCCTCCTTGCTTTAACTTCACCCAGCGCTATCTGTCAGCAAATCATCCCTGGTTACACAGATAAGGAATAATTGATGCAAAGGAGCCATCTGTTTGCGAACACGGAATATCTGCTCAATTAGGAGGGATCTGTCCACCCAGATAAAGCATGGCAGCAGCCCCTTGGAGGGGGGGCCTTCCTCCCCGGCCACGTCCTCAAAGACTCACCCCCAATTAGAGGTGAGCGGGTTGATTGGGGTGTTAATTTGCTAAGCACCCTGAGGTGCTCGGGAAGAGGCTGGGAGGGAAGGGTGCTCTGCCACCACATGTTGAAATTTGAGGGGAGGGCTGGTAGCCCCCCTGACATGTCCCACTGTGGTGATGCTCAGCTTGTCCTGGCTCTGGGAGATGCTTATCCTGCATCTTCCCAGGGATGGAGACAGGGAACCAGCATCTGCACCTCCCAAATAGTGCAGAGCTGAGGTCGGCCTGCTCATGACATGCATCAAGGGAGCTTGCAAATGGACAGAAGGACTGAAGAACGACTCTGCAACAGCTCACAGGACATCCATGGCGGGGGTCAGGGACACAGGGCACAGCCACAGGCAGCATCCAGGTCAGAGGTAGGTGTGCAGTGAAGTGACATCAATGTGACATCGTTATGTGATGTTATTAACACAGGAAAAATTGAGCTGGCGTGCAGGGCTGTAAGCCAGGGGAGATGGGCAGGAATAGCAGGGCAGCTCCAAAAGTGATAGAACCATGGAGAAAAGGCACCAACCAGAGGTGGCAGGGACAACCCCATGGCATGACACTCCTCAACCCACCCCTGTGTGGCATCTGTCCCCATCTACTCCAGCGGGTCCTCAGTATGAAGGTCACGGAAAGCTCAAGAGGGGTCAAAACACAGCTGGTGACCTCAAGGGACAGGCACAGAGCCACTGACAGACCCCGTGTCACCTATGTCACCTGTGACCCCCACCATCAGCATGGTGTCTCCCAGGCCCTCAGCTTGGTGCCTCGGGCAGGCAGCCAGGAGACACGATGGCACTAAGGGCAGGGAAAGGTGTCCCTGTGTCTGGTGTCCTCACACCTATCCCTCCCTGACAAGGGCACATTCCTTCTGCTCCCAGTGGACTAAATACCTGCTGGGGCACTCAGCTCTCCCCCCAGCTTCAGGATGGCAGTAATGGAACAGGAAAGCAAAAGGTGAGAGATCTGGCACACAGAAGGTCAGACCAATACATTTCCTGTGCCTTCAGGACACCCAAAAATGCAGCTTCCCCATTCCACCTCCCCTGTGCCTCGCCTGCCACCAGGACGGGCTGCAGCGTGCGCAGCAGCAACGCCGCCCATGGGAAATGCCGCCCACGGGAACACCACCCACGGGAATATGCCGCGGGCACAGCAAAGCCCCCGCTGCATTGCCCCAACCTCCACCCTCCCAGGTGGCAGCACCTCGGAAAACCCCCATGCTTCCAGCAGCCAGAGCACTGGGGGTGGATGCAATCCTGGCACTTCGGCTCTTGGCTGGCATCACCCCGGCAGGGCGGCGGGCACGGTGCCCGGCGAGCACCGGCACAGCTGCACCGGCAATGGGGTTTGGCACAACCTGCGTGCCAGCTCCAGCGAATGAGCAAGGGATGAGGTGAGGAGGATGCTCGGCACAGAGGGGCTGTATCCTGCACTTCCTGGGATGCAGAGAGTGCCAGCACCCGGCTGTAAGGCTTGGTGGGGACAAACCCCTGCCATCTCCCATCTACCCCCAGGCCTTGTGAGGCGGCGCTCAGGATAAAAGGTGTTTTTGGAGTGTTGAGGGCTATGGGAGTGGGCTTCCCCTGGCTCCCTTTGTCAGTGAGGCCCTGGAGACCACAGCTCCCGCTGGGGCTTTATCACAGTCACGGCAGGCACAGCCCCTGCCGTGTGTTCCCCCAGACGGTTCCAGCTGCTCTTCCCTCCAGGAAGCCTTTGCCCTCCTCATCCTCATCCCAGCTGCCTGAAAACAGAGGGTTTTCCCACAAAAGCAGGCTGGGGTCTCCCTGGAGAGCTGGGGTCCCTGCTGGTGGCATGACTTGGCCCCAGTGGGCATCCACAGGAGGGGTGGTGGCTGGATCCGTGCATCCCCGCTGTGTTTAAAGTTTCTCAGCCGTGTTTGCTGGCGGAAAGTTGGAACCTGCAATTACAGCAGTGCTAACCCCTCATTAAAATGGGGAGGGGGGAGAAAAAATGGGAAAGAAACAAAAGGCTCCAGAGCGAGACACGGTGCCATTAACCCTTCCCAAGACTGGGATGTGGACCCCCCGGGAAATTAATGGAGCCGGAGAGATGGGTCGCAGTGGTGGCAGGTGACACCGTGTGCTGGGGGCCAGCCCATGAGCATCACTGCCCACCTGGATCCCCGCTCTGTGTCACGGTGCAACGGCAATGCTGGCTGTGCCGCGGCGCCCGCGTGGGCATGGCTGCGGCTGTGCCGGAGCCGTTTGTCACGGCAGGGCTGCGGTTCCCGCTCGCTCTCCAGCAGCGACACCGTGACGCCTGCTCCAGGAGCCCACACAATATGTTCGCACTCATCTTGCAGCTGCCCCCAGACAGCCCGAGGTGCCGCGCTCCTCCCCGGCGCGGGGGCCGGTGTGTGCTGGCAGAGCCGCGACGTGCCGGCGAGCCCAGGCGGGAACCGGCAGGGATGGAAGGGGCTGGAGACTGTGGTCAGGCTGGATGCCACATGGGGAGATGATGCTGGAAACAGCACAGGCATGAGCAAGGGATGTACCAGTGGCCCCCCCACGCCTAAGCACCCTGACCCAGGGGCCAGGCTGTGCCACCAGGCAGGGAAAGGCCTGACCGTGACCCCTGTGTGTGACCACAGCCCACCCTGCACCAACTAGTGAAGCACCACACTGGGAGCACCTGGAGTGAAGCACATCCCCCTTGGGGACCCCACTCCCAGCAAGGGTTTGACCCTGTGCCCACCCCAGCACAACCACAGCCACTCCCCCCCTCCCCCATCTCTGGGGAGCAGCGGATCCCTGTGTCACCCTCCAGCCCCCCCCCCTCACGACACCACCTCAGCGCTGCGGCCGCAGCGGCTCTGACAGCAGCTAACGAGCTGCAGGCAGCAATTTGGGTTATATATAGCCCCAAAGTGACTGCATCTAATTGCTCCAGCACCCACCGGCCCCGCCACGGGGTCCGGGTGCTGGGCACAGGGGAACGGGGTGGGCGGCACACACTCAGCCCCCTCCCTCGGCTGTCACCCCGTGTGACCCCCCGGGCACCCTGAGGCCGGTGGGGCGTGAGCATCACCCCATCCATGCCGGCCCCAGGGAGCTGGGCTGTTCCCAGCGGCTTTGTG